TCACACCAGCGCACAACAACAACGGTGCAGCGGAAGCGGACGGAATGTTGTCGGGGATCTTGAACGCGAAGTTGCTGTCAACGCGGACGTATCTGCATATTCACCGTACGCCATGGAACCGTCCTCGTACTGGGCATCGTAAGTGATCACGGAGCGGTTGCAGAAGGTGTTTTCACTGTCAGCACACTCCTTACATGGCCTATTAGGGTCTTTGGTAAAACATACCCAAACTTGAGCTCCGACACCGACACGGTCACCCACGACAAGGTGCTTGGTATTGGCACCAACAACAGTCACTTACCGATGATCTCGTGGCCAAACACACATGGATACATCGTTGGTTTCCAGCCGCTGTCGAGGTGGCGAATGTCCGACCCGCAGATACCTTGACTTCCACGTCTTCTTCACTGAGCGGGCGAGATTCGTATTGGCATGGCACAGTCTTGCCCGACGGCTCGGGTAGGCGTTCACAGTTCTCGGGACAGTCGACATGTTTCTCGGGTTATCGGGTTGTTGAAGTGATGAACGAAGCAAATTTGGGAATGGCAGATTGGTTCGTGCTTTACTTCAGTAGGCGCGTTGTATCAGGGTGAGGAAATGCAGCGGCTGCAAGCAGCAGGAGATATGCTGTTATCGCAACAGTGTTGCAATTGTAGTTGCTTATCAGTGAAATGTTGATGCAGTTGGGGCAAGTTGTCAATCAACGACTATCAGATCAAGATTACTTTATGTGCTTCGTAACTCATTTGCGTTATTACTGATACTTCGGAACGGTTTACGGTTACGTTTATGGGACGTTTTACCATAACAATTACGGGACACTTGTCGGTAAACATTAGGAATTAGCATTGCATATTTAGAGATTGGGGAATTTATTCCAGGGATATTTTTCATCGCTATTTAAATTACGACGGGTTTCAAGCTAATCACCCCCTAACATAAATTCACTTTTCATTTTACCAAGCGGTATAAAAATGTTACATGGGCCCTGATACCAGCACGTAGTACCCCCCAAAAACTGTTTTAAACAATTCAGGTGAATAGCCCTGTTGAGCGGAAAGGTATTGAGTTGTGGTTTCAATTTTCTCCCGGTTCACAACTTATTAAAATAAATTTGACGGACGAACACACGTGCTCTCCCGTCGAAGTTAATAGCGGGCTTCGATACTTTTATTTTTTCTTAAGAACAAAGATAGATCACTTTAGGGACGTTCTTAACTGCGGTTGAATAGTTGAATTTCAACCAAGGTCCAGATGTGCCAGAGACGAAACCACACTACCGCTCAACCGCTCAACTTCTCTGATGAGAACGAATGAGCCTCGTTCGCCACATATTTTCGTTTGCGCTAGAAACAGATATAACAATTGTAAGAAGTCAGGCCACGTAGGAGAAGCCGCGTAGGCATGAAGCCGCGCATCGCTTCCTGTGAGCTTCCTGGGACGACTACGCATTGTACATTGTGCTACCTAGCTGGTGCCAACATGGCGGTCTACTTATACCTGGGCGTGCGTGATATAGCTCATCCCAGTGTCCTTCCTTAGCTACGCTGTGCCACAAGCTTTCGGGGCCGGGGAGGGGGCTTTACTAGCAGGAGACATTTGCCTTGGTAAAGCAATCGCCCGGTTCTTCCCCGCTCAACCGTCCACCCTTGCACTGGGAGCGTGTTGTGGCGCTCAACCTTTGCAGCATTTATGTGTATAGTTAATTACGCAATCCACCTAGAAAAGGTTGTACGGGATACAGTTCAACCGTTTAAGAACGCCCCTTAGCACATTTGGTCATATACGGCTTTGTTATATCCTCCTGACATACCGTATATCACGGTGAACATGCGCCTAAACGCGTAAATAGTTTTTTTTTTACGAAACATAGATATGTCAAGTATATATCCAAAAACGACTTTTTTACATTACCAGATTATCAATAATTTACGATGCCGTGGTATACGGTACCAGTAACATCTCAAGTATATGCGGACATTTCGTTTATGCTGAATTAAAGTTATTAGTGACATTCATCTTCACTTGTCACACGTTTCCCGTGGAGGAACTCTTGATCATCTCGTTTTGCATGGCCATGGCATCAAAGCTCATTTTCAAATTCGCTTCCGACCAAACGCATCTGATCGAAACTTACCAAGACAACATTCGTCATGTCGACTGCTCCGAGAACTGTCAACGCATACGCCGCCTTTGACAGGACCGGCGAGTGCAAACTCTGGCAGTACCAGAGCCGCCCACTTGGTGACGAGGACGTCGAGATCAAGATTTCTCACTGCGGCATCTGCGGCTCTGA